GTGAGTTGCAAAAATACTTTTTTTGGTTCATAAACAATGGAGTGTGGGATCTCCATTTGTTTATGCCCTACAAACTTTCTAAATGCCATGCTTTCCTGTATATTTTACAGTTCACAACTTACACCCCTTGTGAATTGTGACTTGTGTCTAGTTTCAATAAAAGGCAACAAGAGAGGGCAAGGAGAGAGAAGGAAGAAGTTGGGATGAGATACAAAGGATAGTTGCGTTGCGGTTCTATTGAGGCATGAGATCACAAAAAAAATGCCAAGTTTCCTTGCGGGTAGTTCATTGGGTCTTGTCCACCTCCGAAGGGCTTCTATTGCTTGATTGTTGGTTAACTAAATCACTTCACACATGTGGTTGCCTTGTGGGTGATGCAATAACAAGTATGCTTGGAAATGTGAGGTCTCTCTCATGTATGGGTCATTGAGCCCTTAGCAATCATTGATGGAGGACAGCTATTGGCAATTTTACAAGGTAGTCTTACCTTTTTTCTTCATTTTGCAAAGAACTTAGCTATTGCTTGCATTTAGGCCAAGGATTTATTATGTATTATATCACCATATTGGTTAGTTAATATCACTACCCATTTGTGAAATCTTAATCCATTGATAGCAAGAAATCCAAGAGATTTTTAATGAATGATTGTTGTTTAAATTGATACTTGGGTTTGTGAATTTGGAAAAGTTAAAAATACTGTTAAATGGAATTCACTCCCAAATTATAATATAGTGGATAGTTTAATTTCGGAACCTTGATCCTAAAACGGCGGAACACGATTCCATAGGGGATCCGCTCCCTTAGCAGATATGGAACTCGATCCCTAAAATTCAAGGATCTCGATTCCTACATTTCCCATATACGGACATAACTTGATGGCTTCCTCGCTTTGCGCTTTCGCCCCTAATAATAGAGGTTTTTTTTTTCGCTGGTACCTATGTCTTGGACTTGGCAAAGTTAATCTTAAGACCCATTGACAATCCCAAGCACCTTAAGAACAACCAAACGTTCTTCACTTGCTGTGGGTACACATTGCAAGACACAAGTGTGTCATCAACATACTGAAGAGGAGAAACCTTGGGGAGATTAGGATGATAGAGGTTGATGAAAACCTCACCTATTATGTAAAAGAAAAGGGCGTTAGTGGATCTCCTTGGCAGGGGCCCTTGATAAGGAGAAGTATTTGGTGGGGCTACCGTTGGTATGAATTGAGAAATGAGGGAAACATACACGACCTATGATCCAACTTCTCCACAAACTATTGAAACCCAAGTGGGCAAGAACCTCATCCAAGAGATCCAAGTCAACGTGATTGTAAGCTTTCTCCCAGTGGAGCTTAAACACCATGCTTAGGGTTTTTGATTAGCGTTCAGAGTGAATAGCTTCGTGGACAATCAACAATTACTGTAAAATTTGACTGTCCATGACAAATGCACCTTGCGTGGATAACACCACCAACCCTAGGCAATGTTGAAGGCCAGTGGCTTGCACTTGCGCTAGAGTTTTGTAAGATCTATTAAGGAAGTTTATTGGTCTGAAATCCTTTAGCTCCTCACGTTCGACCTTAGGGACCAAAACAATAAAAAATTAATTACTTAAAAAAATAATAAAAAATTAATTAAAGTTCTGTTTGATAACCTTGTTTGGTAGAATCTCAAAAACAAAGCTAATATGTTTGGGGCTACTACGTCCCAAACTGATAAAACAAGGATGTGGAAGTTTCAGTGAAAGGCCGCTCTAACCATCCAGTCATCTCACAAGGAAGTTGGAATCATAGTTAACGGAACCGGGAGCGGGAATGGCCCAGGTTCCGGGAGTGGGAGTGTCGGATTGACGGCTGCACAAAGCTCCAAAGCTCGGGGAGCGAGTTCTGGTGGGGCTAAAAGAAGCGGATCGAGATCCCGCATGAATAGGGTGCTTGTTACCAATACATCGGGATCTAGATCCTTATTTAACGGGTACGAGTTTCATGTCAAATGGGATCATGTTCCTATATTCATTAGGATCGTGCTCCCATCGACAATAGGAACGAGATCTCATTTGAAGTTGAGTTGCGCTCCCATCTAAGATGACTGCCTTCCTATTTGGAAACGATCAATCTCCATTCAAGGAAGGATCGCGTTCCGTGCATGATTGATCCACGCTCTTATCGCAAAACTCCACTTGTATCAAAAAACCAACTTCATCACACATGGATTCGAGCTCCCACTAAGCACGGCAGCCCGTTCCCATATAAACATGATCTCGTTTTGGTTTATTCTAGAAACCATTATCCTATCTAGCAATGGCCCATGGGGCTAAATCCATGCACAACCAATCGTAGATGTTCATGGACTAATTAAAGGGAAAGTTTATATCGAGCCTAGGCTCTCTAAACAATCAACTTGGAGCCTACCTCAAAAATTTCACTAGAAGAGGTTGTTTTGATGCCCAAATATCTTAAAATTGATTATCCTGACATCAAGATGCATGGGCTTGAGAAAAAAATGGATTTCAAGTTTTGGAAATAGTGCATCTTGTAACGCATTTTTGGACCATTAATTATTAAGTTATTCAAGTTTTCATAGATCTGCTTGATCTACACTTTTTTTGAAGCTTTAAATTTTATAATTAAAGATTAAAATATATTTTAAGGCTAGTCAAAGATTTCCAATATTGAAACCACTCGACACTATTTGAAGGTGGGCTCTAATTTGATTTTTTAGAGCCTTGGCTCTATACAAACCGCACCCTTACTTAAATTCCATTAATCTTGCATGAAAATAAATTCTTTCAATACTCTATACAATTATATTCTTGAAACTGTTAATTCTAGTACTGTTCAAAATCTCATAAGTGATATTCAAATGGGCGTCACATTAGCGTTTGTGTACCTGGAAATATAGTCTGTGAAACAATGTTTAAGAGTAATATATTATTGGAGTAATATATTATTGGAATGTTGTTGTTTAGGTAATATCTGGATGCAACCTGGGCATGTATTGGTATTGTTTGGCTACATCCGGAAGAAATTTGGAAATGCATTACTGTTATTTTGGGGTAGAAAAACTGTATGAAAATTTGGCTTAAAATACAATTATTTTTTTAAAATTTAATTTTATGTAAGAAGTTTCTTTTGGGAAGTTAGAAATTGGTAAAATAATTTTATTCAGAATTACAAAAAATTATTGTCTTTGGAATAAAGGTAATTTCAAATAAAAAGTATATAAGGATGGAGTTTCAGGAACGTAGGGATGGAGTTCCGGGAACGTAGGGATCACTCACCTAAATTTCTTGGAGCGGGGATCTAATTATTCAGAAACGTGATCTACAATTTTAAGGAACGCGTTCCGTACGATAGTGGGATCGAGATCCTTTGTGCATGGAATCGAGAATCCTATATATATAAGAACCAGCTCCCGAAAAATTTAAAACCTATCAAGCCTGATTATGTAACACCAAAACTAGGTTTCGGAGTAGGAGCGCCACCCGGGTTGGGCGCTCCCGGTAACTATGGTTGGAATGCAAGGTTGGACATTGAGGGCCGAACGTGAGAATCTCTGGTAAACAAGTTATTGAAGTTGACCTTAAAAGTTTCACAGATCCCTTTCATATGTGCTATTGCATTGACTCTTCTTCTATAGTTTGCCGCCCTGTTGGGAGAGACTGTGTTTGGTTCCCCCTTCTTGAGCGATTTGATTATGGAACACTGGTGCCAATATACTTTCTCAAAAAAACACTGGTGCCAATATATCTGTTCTTGCTTCAGTGCCCTTTGGTATTCATCCTGGGCTACAGCACTCTTTTGCCCCATCTTCAGCCCTCTTTGGTATTCAACCTGGGCTAAGGCCCACTTTTGCCCCATCTTCAGGCCTAAGGTCTCTGGATTCCTGATGTGCACATTCTTGAACCTTTCCAACTTAGCTACACGTGTGGAAGTTGACTATAGTTCTACTCACTCTATGATTATCACACCTTCTTAATCCACTACTGTACAAAGGTATTGCTTGTGGCGTTATTTGGTCTTCAGATTCATGGTATAACCTCTGAGGAAGAAAGGCAGTTGTCTCTTGATTTTTGATATTTAGACAAGAACTGAGGTAAAAATGGAATGCGTGCAAATTGTATTCATGTACTCTCTTAACTCCCTGCTTAGATAGCAGGCGAGGATTACTTCTCCTTCCAAATACCCTTGAAGATTGATTAAAGGTTGATAGTTTTAAAGTATCTTGCGGTTCCTCTCTAACAGTCCAGTCTTACTTGTTAGATAGTGGGAAATGTTTTGTCATCCTCCGAATGCCCTGCATATTAATAATGCAAGGTTCCTGTCTCTGGATTATCCCTGATCTCACTGAACTGAAGATAGCATGTTGGATTGGTCTGGTCAGTATTTATATTTCTGTATGTTATCATACAAATTAGCAATCTGGTTCCAAACTTCGTTGGGGCTATGGAGAAGGACATCAAATCCATTCAGTTGGTCAATACAATGCTACTTTGGGGCTGTTTCCCTGTTGATCCTGTGCAGTAGCTGTTGGAGATAGTCAATTTTGGAGGTGTGGGTTTTCGAGATGCATCATTTCTGCCGGTTGGCCTGCTTAGCCATTTTTTTACATTTTTTTGGGAGGGGACATGTTCTCTTCATTTTTATGCATACTGTGATCCGTTTGTAATAATTAGCTTTGTGAAAGGGTTAAGTATCCCATCTGTATAGATGAGATTCTTTCTTATTTCATAAAAAATTAGCCATACTGGCTGTTTGTTGTGTTGTTTGAGCCATCTTTATACTTGTGGGCCTATCTGAGGTTCCAGTTTTGTCTCTAACATTTAATGGCACTTGGACTATCTTTTATTCCTTTTTGTCCCTTTTATTCTGATTTACGACCTGATGGTTGTTGTTGAGACAGACTCATTCATCGTTGGTGGTTCAGGGAGCTTATGAATTGTAATTTTGTTTGCCTGTTATTGATTGCTTGTAAATTTGTATGGATCATCCTGCTGACATTGATCTTCCAACTCAGATGTGGTGGAGGAAACACTTCAGTCTCCAGATCAAGCAAAGCCATGTTTGGCCCAGGAAAGCGATCAAGCGAATGCTGCTGTTGATGTTCTGTTTCATCCACCAAAGGAAAAGGCAGAACTACTGCAGAGTGGTGCTCTTGACATGCAGGGTCTTGCCAAGCCTATGGACGAGACTAATATCAAGTGAGTTTTTGAAGTCTTAAGTGTGGATTGTATGTCACAGCTTAACACACAGGTATTCTGAAGGCATTGAATTATTTATGCAGGGTTAATGAACTATCAATTGGTTCTTTTATGCACCCATTGATCCATGAGAGATTAATGCGAATAGAGAACTGCTCAGTTGGCAGGCAGCGAAATAGGTCGCAGTCAGATGGTAAACCCCATTACTGGCTCTTGGACTTTTGGGTTTCATTAGATTTCTCTAATGTCTTCTTACTCATGCAAGGTGAGTGTTGGAATGGTACTTCTTCTTGGGCTACAGCTTCCAATGGAAATGAACTGCCTTCATGCTCCATTACTTCTGAAGTGAAGCATATACCAGATGTAGCACAATTGAAGCAGCTTGTTAAAGCTCGGAAGATGGGAATCATGGACCTTGCACCAGACGATGAAGTGGAAGGAGAAATTCTCTACTTTCAGAATCAACTACTTGCCAGTGCTCTTGCATGCATGAATAGTTGTGGTTTACAATCTTCTCCCTCATCCTCTCTCTGAGCTTGTTCGTCTTTGTCCTTGCAGTATTCATTATTCTGATATTAATTGAGATGTCTGGCCCTTGGGGATGCTCTTTAATAATAATTATCCTGTTCAACTATGCAGACGATTTGATTTTCAGAGTTGTCACAAATCTCCCCCATGAGCAGGATGCCTTGCGGAGACAGAGATGGGATGCTGTAGTTGTTAACCAGTATCTTTGTGAGGTCAGGGAAGCAAAGAAACAAGGGAGGAAAGAGAAAAGGTTTAGAGAGGCCCAGGCTGTATTGGCAGCAGCAACGGCTGCTGCCGCAGCTTCTTCAAGAGTTTCATCTTCTAGGAAAGATTCATACGATGAAGTCAGTGCTGTGCATGGCCACTCTGTGGTAAATATTTGACCGTCTTTACCTTCTCGAAGTTCTCAGTCCGTTTATAAGCATTCAATCATTACTAACAAGTCGTTGTGTTCAGAGTCCTTTTAGGGGGAGTGCCTTAAGTGGGAGGCCTGGATCTTATTCGCAGTTGATACCAGTGAAAGAGACTCTTTCTAGACTGGTTGTTACGAAGGCTTCATGTGAAAAGCAGTCTGATGTCTGCCAGCTTGCCTCAGACTCTCTCAAAGATCGTTCAATATCATGTGATATCTGCTGCCGAAATGAGACTATATCAAATCGTCTTGCTGTTTGCTGCAACTGCAAGGTTCCTTGGCATCGTCATCAACAGCATAATGTATTTGAATGGCATCCTTGCTTACATAGTTTTGGAGCATTGTATTTAGCTATTTGTTCCTTGCAGGTTGCAGTTCATCCTGATTGCTATCATATCCTTAGGGATTCTGGTGCTGCCTGGCATTGCGAACCATGTGAAGAGTTAATACAGCATTACAAGTGTTCTTCTAGAATAGCATCTGTGAACGTCCGAGAGTGGCAGTGTGGTTTATGTGGTGGCACTTCGGGTGCTCTTAGGAAGTCTACTGATGGCCAATGGGTGCATGCCTTTTGTGCAGAGGTATGGGCAAGCTTCTTCTGGTTTCTGATGAAACTTGGACCGAGTTACACCAACTGGGAAGCCTTGAATATATGTCTCTTCAATCCTCATGTAATTTTTATTTTTCCTGTAGTGGATTCTGGAATCAACATTTCAAAGGGGACAGCCAAACCCTGTTGAAGGAATGGTATGCCTTGTGAATGCAGTATAATGTTCATGTCATGATGCAGGATTTTCATCATATGGTGTTTGAGCATATTAAGATTTCTATGAATTTTTCTTTTTGTGGGAATCTGAATTTTGAATATTTCCTCTTGAGAATTTGAGTTGCATACAACTGATCTAGCAAATTTGCGTGCCTATATATTCCATCACTTGCAGCAATTTGTTTTGAAAGAGAGAGACGCTCAACTTTGCAGCTTATGTCGTCGCAAAGTTGGTGTATTTCTAAAGGTTAGTTGAGCTAAATTATTCATGCTTTTTTTTTTTTTCTCATTTTATTTTTCATAGCTTGTGGGAGTTTTGGTATTTTTATTACCATTTATATGTTCCTAACAAATTTGAAATTGAGAACTCTCTTGCAGTGTAGTTATGGCCACTGTCATATCACCTTTCATCCATTATGCGCTAGAAATTCAGGGTTATACATGACTGCAAAGACCAGTGGTGGCAAGGTTCAGCACAGAGCATATTGTGAGAAACACACGATGGAGAGGAAGGAAAAGGTTGGGTTGATTGTTTATAGGCTATAGTTGCTTAAAATTGAATTAAAAATCACGTATTCACGTTTTGAAGTTTTGTTTCTAGTTCGGGATTTGGGCACTTGGAGTCCTGTGTTTAGGGCGTTAAGAAGTCTCTGCAGAATGTCCATGGTTCAATCTCTCTGCTGAGCTACCCAACAAAGCAATCTTATTTCTTGTTAAATAATTTCTGCAGGTTGAGTCTCAGCCCTACGGTTCTGATGAATTGAAAAGTATCAAACAAATACGGGTGAGCAATTATCTGTATAAGATGCATGCAACATTTTCAATTTTTCTATATAGAATGTGAATTTTGGGAAATCATCTTCCTAAGGTTCTTAGGTTCAAATTTTGGTGTTTGTTCCAATATCTGGAAGCAGTTGAATCACCTGTTTCGTTTTCATTAATTTGGGAAACAATGAACTACTAGAGCTAACCCATCTTTTCTGAGAGACTTTTTGTATCTGGGTTTGTGTTATCCATTTTTGAGTATAAACTCAAGCAAATTTATAGTGGTCGAATCCAGAAAATCTTTCTGCTTAGTAAACCACAAATATTTTACTCATGTTATAGTATTGCGATGATTGTTAACATGTTGGAAAAACTGCCCGCTCCAGAGGTTCTTAATTACGGGCATGTTCAATGTTCTATGGAGTTACAGACCACAAACACAAGTTCTGAAGGCTGAAAAGATAAGTCCTAACTCATAAAAGAGGCTATAGAAGTGTCCATCGAGTGCACTCTCAAATAAGGAGTCAAGTAATCTCTCTTTTTTTTTTTCTTTTTTTTTTTCTTTTTTTTTTTTATTTGCTGAGAGGTAAATAAATATGTATGTTTTCTCCTCCATAGTCCTCAACTTTCTCATGATGAGAATCAGTGTCATTAACCTTTGATGCAAGGCCATCCTCATCATAGTCATCCCCTTCTTCATCATATTGAGCATCCTTGTCTATCTCATTCTTGTCTCCTATTCATCCTCTATTTCCCTCTTTGAAGAACTCAATATGGTATTTGATATAGGGTTGGTTTCTGGAGCCTCCAGAACTGTTACCAATTCAATACCTCTCTAGGGGACCATCAACTAACCATTCACTGAACATCATCTGTCACAGCAGTGGGTTGACATAATGGTGCTCTTCGAAGCACTTTTACAGCCTCCTTTGTATTGGCCATGGACTAAACCTTTCAGTTTCTTCTACTCAAGCCCGTTTCTCAATTTATATAATTCTGATAGAGAATTCATGAATTTGTAAAAAAACAAAATATTCAAGTTTGGCTTGATATCTGTCAACAAATTACCATCTTAAATGAACTCCATGTCAAGCTCAAATTGTAGATGGCCATCTTTTGCAAGTGTGTGGCATCGGCCTCGTGTGAGGCCCACTGTAGAGTGCTGCTTCATCGATAATTTCATTTCATAAAGGATAAAGAATTATAGTACTATATTGGCATCTTTTGGAACCGCTACAGATTGTAACACTTTTTTGGATTTAGTAAAGGCTTTGTTATTGGTAACAAAAATTGTACTATATAGAAGCACTCATGCCTGGAGTATAGAGACTCTTACCCTCAGTCGTATTGCTATTTCTTTCCCAACTGAGTTCAATAAAAGTTGTATAACTTCGATTGTTAGTTGCCTTGTACGTCCGTATGGGGATGAAGCCTTTCGAGTGGTACAGGGCTCCAAAAGAGAGCGGCAGCAACACGGAGAAGAAAAGGAACCCCGCAATCACCGAACTGAAAGTCTTTGGTACTTGTCTTATTCATCACACTGAACTGAGACTTTTGTGTAGTGTATTGCTATTTCTTTCCCAACTGAGTTCAATACAACTTGTAGAACTTCAATTGTTAGTTGCCTTGTACGTTCGTATGGGGATGAAGCCTTTGGACACATTCAATCCATCCATGTTAAAAAATAGAATCATTGTCATGATTGCCATAAACATATTGTCAGACAAATTTTGGACTGGATCCTGTAGCGTGCAAGTGAATGGAGCTTGTGATCTCACTTCACATTTATCTTTCTCCAAATCAGCTAATGCTTTGTCTGCACATCTTGGTATTGTTCAATTCCTTAAAATGAAGCCCTTATGGAACGTCTCTTCAATATCCAGCATGTGCAATTAACAAGTGGATTCAATGCCTTATAGGGAGATGATGCCTCATTCCAGAAATGAGGGGTGCAAAATGATATCACTTGCAATCTTCCCTTGTATATCTTTGCACAACTTGCACTTAAACCATTTTTTTGAGGTAAACATGCACATGTTGCTAAAACCTCGACTTGCAAGGGGCTATTTGGATCATTGGAAAAAGATAACCAGTAGATAGTTTTCCAGGAAAATTGTCTATTTCTGCTGTTTGAATCCAAAATCTAGGAGGGAATTTTTTTCTGGCAGAAATCATTCTCTATTTTGAGCCCAAAATAGCGTAATCTATTTCCATGGCTTCATCCTTACAAAATATTTTTCTCTGTTTTCCTTCACAGAGTTGAAACCCTACTCACCCCAAATCCGGGTCGATTTGGATCCGGTCCACCTCAACTGGGACCCAACCTGACTAGGTCTAACTTAGACCCAGACCCACCTGGTCGGGTCAGGTTGACCTGGACAGAAACCCGATCCGATATGGTGCAATCCAGTGGTCAAGGTCAAGTGGATCCAGACCTGAACACATACCTGATCAGTCGAGCCTATTGTCGGGTCTAGACCTTGGGGTCGACCCATATGATATATCTTGACCTTGGATTCATTAAGTTTAGTGGGGGTTTACTTGATGAACTTTTCACCACTGATTTAGATGCGATTTTCCTTAACAATAATCAGTTTGAGGGGCCAATATATTCATGTTTAGGGAATTCCAGGTTGCATCCAATTGCTATCAAAACAGAAAAATATTTATTTTTCCAGGAAATATTTTTCACAAAAATGTATTTCACTGGAAATAGATTTTTTTTGGACAATGCTTTTCCAAGGATCCATATGGGCCTGTTGTCTTAGATAGTTTTTCCAAGAATAATATCATTCTGTTGACATGATGTCTTTTTTTGAATTTAGATAGCATCAGCTATTTTGGTGGCCAGTGATGTTCTTGGGTTGAGTTTTCATGAATCCTTCTTCATTACTGGTTGATATTAAAAGGAAAGCAGTATCTGGTTATCATCCATGTCACTTGTCTGATTTGATGTTTTTATTCTATGCAGGTTGAGTTGGAAAGGGTGCGTCTTCTCTGTGAACGCATTGTCAGGAGAGAAAAACTGAAGGTTCGTCCATTTATTGTAAAAAATGAATGTGGGAATCATGGGTGCTGTTTGTTGCGATTCATAATGGTTCCCAGTTTTCTTGTTTTGCACAGAACAATTCCTGTTTAGATGTTGACTTTGAATGAGGGTTATTTTGAGCATCTTTCTTTTTCCCTCTTTTTTTTGGGCAATTTCAATTTTTTGATCAATCAACGGATTTCTGTATTTTTTTCCCCCTTGACCTCAAAATGCATTGATATCCTATTGTGTGGCTCTCCTAGAGGAACATATCAGATTCTTTTGTTTGTTTGTTATTCGTATTATTTTTTCTAATCTTCTTTGAATGAAGGTTGATTGTATACTATAAATATTAACAAGCTTTACATAAACCCCTTTCGGGCTGCCCATAGACTGGGAGCTCAGAAACAAAAAGGTGTGAGGAATCAAAAGTAAAAAGGGTGGTATACAAGCATTAGACAGCTATCTGTGGCATAGGCACAAATGAAGGTGAAAAAAGGTGCAAAATGTGTCCTTTGGCTACCCACATACCAGTAGCCCTTGAAAAAAAAATGTCTATAAAAATGGGCTACGCAAAAACTGGGAACTCTATTTAAGAAATGGTAACAGGGCCAAACCTTGTGTCGGCCTAGTCTACAAGCCATAGGCTGCCAACAAAGGAAGGAGAGGCGAGCGAAAGTGGAGAAGAGGATGAGGAATATAGAGAGATAAGAGAGCAGAGGGCGAAGGGGAAGAGGGAAGAGGAGGATGAGGAGTAGGTGCAGCTTCCTAGATAAAAAATGAGAGGTTGAGGCAGGGAGAGAATGTAGAGGAGAAAAAAGGGGAGATGAGAGAGAAAAAGAGGGAGAGAGGGAGAGGGGCAGAGAGACTGCAACAGTCTGCAAACACCTTGTAAGAAACCATGGGGGGAGAGAGAGGGAGGGGGGAGGGGAAAGGGGGAGGGACAATGGGTGAGAGAGACGACAGAAAGGGGATTGGGTTAAGGTATGAGTGAGACAAATGAGGTAGAGGTGAGACACATTGTCATGGTGTAGCTTGGGCTGATTGTAATCCACTCGCAGCAACGTCTTTGGCCAACCAGCGACAATGTTGGCTTCCCTCGGAACACGGTGGAAGATGACCTGAGTATCCTTGGATAACGTGTGAATGAGGTCAAACAAATGAGCAATCCTTCAGGGGGGTTGTTGGAAAATGAGCAATTCTCCAGGGGAGTTGTTGGAACCCACGGGTAACCTCGCCTTCCACAAGAAGACACTCGATGCTGGGTTTGACAAGGCGGAAATGCTTGAGTCCTTACAGGATAGCAATAGACTTTGCTGTAGTAGAGTTTGTGTGACCTGTAAAACAACTAAAGGACAAAATCTCTCCATCATGGCTAGCCAACTTGCTCCTATATCCCGAATGACCCAGATTTTTTATGGACCACCTGACAGTGTTAAGCGTAAGAGACCCCGGTAGCACAAGAGACCTGAGAACCTTGACAGCCTAAATTCTAGGGGTGGCAATAGGTCGGGTATGGGTCGGGTTCGGCTGGACCTGGACCCGAATGTGTTTAGGTGCAGGTTTTGGACCCGGACCCTACCCGTCGGGTCCAAAAGTTGGACGCATACCCGTACCCGTCAGGTCCTGGGTCTATTCCGTGGGGTCCCGTGTCTAGTCGGGTCCATTGCCACCCTCACTATGAGCTTCCTTTTTTGTAGCCTACAATGGTGAACAATAGAGAACTGATTTTTGAGGGGTGGGCGATTAGAGAGAGAGAGACATTCGAGATCCCGAGAGAGAGCTGTCTTCAAGAAACTGAGAGGGAGAATTGCAGAGAGGGAGGATGGCGATGGGGTCTGGCCATTTGGGGAACTAGAGGAAGACGAAAAGTATTGAAACAATTTTAGAGTTGGGGCTTTGGCCTATAGGTAAACTAAATATTCGAGTTTGGGTACCCGCTGGGTCAGCTATAGCAGGACCCGTACCCAGACCCGGGACTATCCGGGTATCCTTTATTGGACCTGGACCCTACCCGGACCCGTGTCGGGTATACCCGGCGGGTATGGGTCGGGTCCAGGTCCATTGCCAGCCCTATTAAATTCTCAGGTCCTGATGAATAATGTTGTGTCAGTTACTTAGGAAAGCAGTGATCTTTAAGGCCTTGTTTGGTAACTGAGAAAGCTATTTTCTAAGAGCCTGAGAAAAAGGTGGAAGTAGAAAACTGGTGCTGTGGAAGCTGGGAAACCTTCTTTGTAACCCATCTGTGAAAACTGGTAATCTTGTTTGGTAACATATTTGTGAAAACTTTGGGGGGGGGGTGTGTGGAGAGAGAGATAGAGCTTGTCGATATTGGTTTTGACCAAGTCAATAAGCAACACCCACATTTGCACCCTAATTTCGTCCATTCACTGTATCCCCCCTACTTGGGGAATTCAGCACCATGGGCTCAACTCTTTCTGCACTATGTTTATCATCATCATCATCCTCGCTTGCATCATCGATTTCCCTTAAGGATCTCACTATCTGCACATGGGCATTGCTTTTTACTGAAACACAAATTTCAGATATTAACTCAATGATTCAAAATAAATAAATAAAAACTTCAGGGGGTTGATGTTTGCTCTTTAATTGAAATACAAAGGAACAAAAACATTTGAAAAGGAAAAAAGTAAAATAAAAACAAATCTGATTTGCCCCCTCCCCTATGCGTATATGTATGTGTTGTAAATATCCATGTTTTCTTTGAAAAAATATTCCATGACATTCTCCATGAGGTCATATCACAAAATGAAAGTTCGTAGTATTTAAACCCATCACATCGCCGTACCTTTTAACTTCATTGATGCCAGCAGAGGGGTAAAGCCCAACACCTACAAGTACTCACAAAATCCTTGGTGTTTTCTAGTGATTGGACAAATTAATCTTGTTAGGTCCTATCTTACTTTGAGAGGAACTCATACCTGAAAATCAGTTAATAGAAGTAAATTTATCAGTAAAAGTGCAGATATTAAACAGTAAATTTACTAATAAACAGCGCTAGATGTGTGTGTGTGAGAGAGAGAGAGAGGGCTCCTTTGAGGAGCTCCAGCAGCTCCTGTGGTCGTGTCGTGTTTCCGATGTGACTCTCTATGCAGAGCGTTGCTAGGCAGCAGCAACAAGAGCATAAAAAACTACTGGGGAGCAGTGGCGTTAGTAACAACAGGCTGGTTCCATTCAGTTCTGATCTTGAAGAATCCTTTCTTTCTCAGCAAGATTCTTGCTCGACTCAACAAATCTTCACAACGCCCATGATTTATGGGAAGGTGTCAAAGCTTGGTTAAGGAGAGGAAAGATGTGCTAGGGTTTGCTACCCTTTGGAGGGAGGGAGGCAGTGTTCCCCCCATTTCTTGGGAGCATGCAGTGCGGCACATTTTCCCCGAAATGGGGAAATGCGGAGCCCTGCCCTGCATTTCTCTGCCTATTCAAACTTTTTCCAGTTCTCAAACCGGGAAGAGCTAAAGTGCCCAAGAAAACAAAGAGTGTTTCTCCTGTTTTCTCGGGCTACCAAACACAGCCCAAGTTTCTACAAAGTGGGAGGCACTTAGTCAAGAAACTGGGACTTATGAAGAACATCTCCAAAATTGCGGCTGTTCCATTCTTTCAGCATGCTCCTAAGAAGGGAAAATACTGAAACAACCCAAAGAATATGATCGTTCTTGGGTAGGGGAGGGGATGGCTAGATAGTAGGGAGTTGTTGGACGGCCTTAGGGGTGTCCATTGGAAGTAAAGCTGAGAATTTACTCGGTTTGGATCCGAAACCTGAATTTCAGACTCTATTCGGATCCAAGTATGGATCCAAGATTTGGATCCAATGGGTTGAATCAAGATCCAAAATTTGGATATGAATAGTAATGCAGATCGGATCCAGGTACAGGTGGATTCGATTCGGATGCAACCCAGTTATTAAAATATTATATATTATTTTATATATGCATTTACGTTATATAGTAATTTTTGTTATATATTATTTTATAATATTTTAAACTATATAAAATAAATTTTTTTGGATCCAATTAGGTCTGGATTTCATGTATGCTTTTCAGATCTGGATTCGGATCCGGATCTGAACTGGATCCTCTCAGATTCGTATCTGAATCCCATGTATACTTTTTGGATCGGAATCCTAATTCTGGTGGATCCAGACCAGATCCGACCATTCTCAGACCGTAGGGAAATCGTGGCCTTATTGTGGTGGAAGAGGTGGTCTATGGTATCCTCAGCTTGGAAACGCACGACATAGTGGCATGGTAGCTGAAGATGTCTCTCTTGGAGTTGGTCCCATGTGAGCACACGGTCGTGAGACGAGGTCCAAGTGAAAGCGAAAGCTTGAATCTTGTGGGGAATAGGAACCGACCAGAGTTTGATCAAAAGAGAACTCAGGCTAGGAGTAGGGTAGGTTGTAAGCTCGCATAGGAAGAAGCTACTGTGAAGCCTAGCTGAGGTAGGGGCTGATAGTAAATGGTCACTTCCTTCTAAGGGGGCAAAAAAATCATGGAGAAAATTTGGCTTGGCAGTGAAATTTTCTCTCTAAATCCGACAGGGCTTGCCTAGAAATAGGGGCCCAAATAAAACATCCACCTCTATTTTCAGCGGACTCAGTGACTGTCGCAAAGACACTGTTGGCAACGTTTTTATAATTGATTAGTTATGTTTTTATTCTTTTTTAATAAGTGAATACGTTTTATTGTAAAGACATACAAAAATGATTGATGGTACTACAAGATGAAAAAATTTGGGGTGGGAAAAATCTCTAGGCTAGAAAGCCTCACGAGATGCTCCAAATTTTCTAGCTCATCTGCAACTCATTTTGCTTCTGTAATTACATCTGGGTCTTTAGACAGTTCTAAACATCATTTTATTCCTGTGAATGTGAGTCTTATCTTTTGCGGATGTTCTTCAAGAAAGCATTGCTAAGGTGGGAGTCAACTGGAATTTGCAATGTCATTTCCTGTTCTACCTCTCTCCCTTGAGATATTTGTTGT